ACCAAGGTAATGATACCACACCAGCAGTATTGTTTACACCAGCAAGGGCAAATAGGTGGCCTCTGAAACCAGTTTCTGTAAAAAGTAGTTCTTGTTAGAATCGTATTATCATTAATTACCAACACAATTTTTTAACTTTTGTGATTTTTGAAGCCACATATCAGTATTCTATGATTATGTTTTGCTTCTATAGGATCGGTGTTTCTGGCTGAAATAATTATAGAGCATTTTCAACTGAGCTTATTTTTGAAGTTTGGTGTATTAGGGGTGATCTACATGTAACAAAACATTAAACAGCCTTAAAGACTAAAAACATTTATTCTGGCATTGGTTTTCATCAGTCTGAGCTCACATCAGGTGCATAGAGTGTCCACTGAAAACAGCTTAATTCATGGTTAGAGTTCAAGTAACAGGAGGGGGTGGAGCAGAGAGAAGTTACAAGAACCAGGTAAAACAGTCCATTCAGAGTAGGTGAAGATTACTCCCAGCTATTGGATAGAACAAAGTGGGATTAACGTAAAATTTAATTGTGGAAAATACAGTGTGAGACATGTTAAGAAATAAATAAGAAGCAACTATTGTGGCTGTTTGTACAGTCAGACAGGCCCTGAATTAACATTTGTAAAGAGTGCGGCCATGCTGAGACATCAGCACCCTTAGTGAGTGAAGAAACCCAGTCCTTATTCAAGGCGGGGTAGGGGATAGTGTTAAACTTCTAGATGAATTCTAATTCAGCACTTACATATATAATAACGCATGTAACAAAACCCTAGGGGCTGCTTCTTCTAGGACAGGGGTCCCTAACCTGAGCCTGTGAGAGCTTTTGAAATTTCGGAACACTTAGTGGACACCACTGCAAAATGGCTGCTGGGGCCAGTCATAAGACATTGGAAGATCGCAAGCCGAGCATCCTCCTTACCATGGAAGAAGCTGTTTCTGACTTGGTCCTCCCTGGCCCCGGTCACACGGGAGGATTTGCCCCGCGAAATGAATGAGTTGAGGGCACATCAAACGGGCGCGATCATACCGCAACATCTGGGAAGCATCATGCACCCATCCCCGATCTGTCCCTTCAGCCCGAAAACGCACATTGAAAAGGTACAGGCAACAGAGCACTACCTTCTGGATGATGCGTGGCAACTCCAGGCATCTGATCGGGGAAGCGCTGGTAGCCCGTCGCAGCCAGCGCCATTCCCTGTCCCACGCATGCGCACAAACGCGCAAGATCCATTTTGCTGCACTATGTCTGATCACTTGCCGAAGGCCGGAGCATGGAGCCACGGGGGTGCGTTGGATTGCGCTACCGTGGTTCTTTTTACTCTGGCTCTAATTTGCCTCCCTTCAGCGGCGCAGTATCCTGCTTGTATGACCAGGACCCCCGAAGACACAAAAGTGCTGCTTTCTGGGTTCTTCTGGGGCAGTTCATGCTCCAGTGTGTTGGAGGAAAAGTAATACTGGTGCTCTGCTTTGGGAAAGAAATACATTGTCAGGCACTATAGTGCTCATGAACACAATGCTGAGTATTGCTGTTCTAGGCAATGGTGATTTTTAATTGCTGAGAGGTTGTTGAGACTAGAGCAGGTACTTAAACATTCTCCCTTCCATTGCTTTTGAACTGCTGCCTCCTGGATTCCCCCAGTCTTCAGACTATTCCAGTGAGTTTCAAGACCCAGTACTTCCCCAAATATACCAATGGTAAATAGGCATCTGCTATATTGTTGCAGAGAGAATATGGAAGCCAGATTCAGACATGGAGGCTTTCGGCATGCACTGTGATTCTGAGTGTACACTGCTCATGCAGGTTTTTCACAGTTTACGCAGTTGATTATTCCTTTGGATGACACAACATTTGACAATAAAATGAATTAATGAACTATTTGAGAACTGCTTATTGTGCAAATAAGCTCCAAATTAGTGGGCTTCCATGTGCAAATTAAACAGAAAGCTGTATTTTAAAATCCTGTGTTTAGCATAAAGGTACTTCATTGTGATATGTCAAATATACTTGAATCAGTATTGGTTTATCAGTAAGTAGGGGAAATTTTCTGGAAAAATGTCAAGGTGTAAGTTAAATAAGTTTAATATAGAATCTCATGGGACTATTTGTAAGTTTCTCAACAGATAATATTAGGTTTATTTGTCAGTTATGAATTTCAAGCCCCAGAGGTTGGTGTTTGCTGCTGAATCTTGGGATGTAGCTGCAGGGTTGTATATTGCTTTATTGCCAATTCCCAAAAATACGAGGTCCCAAGCGACTGTTGTGGTGATTTGTACAGTCAGACAGGCCCTGAAAATATTACAGCATAGAGGCTAAGAACTGTAGGCCTCAGAGGACTACTTCTTGGCCTTTGGCCTCTGGCGTGTGAGGTTCCACAAGGCTCTCTCTTGTTCCAATTCTGTTTAGCTAGAAGCATGAAATTTTTTGTAAAGGTTTTTTGAGGTTTGGTGCCATTGCTTGTGGTGACACTGTTCAGCTCTGTCTCCCCTTTCTGTTGAATTTGGGAGGTAGTGGAAGGTTCTAGACGAGGAAGCATTCGGAAGAATCAGGTTAGCAGCTTGGGAATTCTTCTGGTGCGCTGGTGGGTGCCCTGATAATAATCATACCCGGGAGATCCCCTTTTGCAGTTTGGGGTATTATTAGGAAAGTGGCTGAAAATAAAACAGCCAACATTATAACGCCATTGTATAGATCTTTGGTGCGGCCTGTTTTTGGAATACTGTGTGCAGTTCTGGTTACCATAGCAGAAATACCAGGTTCGCAACATGGAGGTAAACTGTGGCAAGCCATTGTATAGATCTTTGGTGCGGCCTGATTTTGGAATACTGTGTGCCGTTCTGGTTACCATAGCGGAAATACCAGGTTCACAACATGGAGGTAAACTGTGGCCAACCACTTCTGAATGTCTGTTCCCTTGAAAACCCCACAGGATCACCATAAGTCAGATGTGACTTGATGGCAAAATAAAGGGGGGGGGGGCATGATAGAGGATTATAAAATTATGCATGGCATGGAGAGAGTTGAGAAAGAGAAATTTTTCTCCCTCTCCCCAAATACTAGAACTTGAGGGTATTCAATGAAGCCGATGGGCAGTAGATTCAGGACAGACTATACTTCTTTAAACAACAAGCAATTAAAATGTGGAATTCGCTGCCAGAGGATTTAGTGATGGTCAGAAGCATAGATGGTTTTAAAAGGGGAAAAAACTGATCGATGGAGGATAGGTCTGTCAGTGGCTACTCGCCGTGGTTACCAAAGGGTACCTCCACATTCAGAAGCAGTCAACTTCTGAATCCCAGAGCCAGGAGGCAACATCAGGGGAAGGCCTTGGACTCTATGCCCAGTTATTGGACTTCCAAAGTAACTGGTTGGCCGCTGTGTGAGACAGGATGCTGGTCTAGATGGACTACCGCTCTGATCCAGCGGGGCTGTTCTTATGACTAGGTGATTTCCACCTGTTTTTCCCCATCACACTGCATAATCCACTTGGCCCACCACACTGTTCCTGAGAGTCTTTTTCTGCCCAGGAGCAGAATTTCAGACATTTATGTGATCTGTAATTGTGTGTGTGTGTGGGGGGGGGTGGAGTCCCTGCTCTGCAGCCTTCTCTTTTCCTTGAGCAGGTTTTCTGGAGAAGCAGCATAGAAATTTTTCTAAACACAGTTTTTTCTCAATAAATACTGGCAGTACTTAGGATTCAACCCAGGATTTTCCCCTGTCTTCAGACTTTGGAACTCTTAAGCTTACTTGACTTCATCTTTTTAGCTTCTGATATTTGAAGGCTCTTTTTCTGGTGTTTGTTCAGGAACCGAATGAATTGAGATTCTCCAATATTTCATTTCCCCCCCTACCTGCTGAATCTTTATTTAACAAAATCTAGTAATTTTATATGTTCTTAACAGTCTTGGGTCAAAGTTTTCTTCTCCATTGAGGTATAGATATTTTGAAAAATAAAAAAGTGACTTTTGGCAAGCTGCTGTCTCTTCTCTTCCACCCCATCTGCAATGTTTCCTTACCTTTCCCCTTATACTTTTATCCTTCCTCTGTTTGTCACAGGCCACTTGTATGGGTAACATTGCCCTAATGTATGGGGCTATTGCAAAGCTTACTATGAAATACTGAAAACTTGAAATGAGCTTCACAAGTAAAAAGTAAAGGTAAAGGTTCCCTTGCTCAAAAGCCAGTCGAATCCGTCTCTAGGGTTGCGGTGCTCATCTCCGTTTCAAAGCCGAAGAGCCAGCGCTGTCCGAAGACATTTTCGTGGTCATGTGGCCGGCATGACTAAACACCAAGGCACACGGAACGCTGTTACCTTCCCACCGAAGTGGTACCTATTTATCTACTTGCAATTTCTTGCTTTCAAACTGCTAGGTTGGCAGGCACAAAGGGAAATAAATTTTCCAAGTGGAAGCAAAAAAAGAAGATGTACTTTGTTAACATTAACAGAATAATATCCAGGAGCATTCAGTGGCTGTCATTTATATTTTACGGAAAGGTTGTCAAGCAGCTGTCAGAGAGATGCTTTTTCAGGAATCATGTGTATCCTGCCCTAGGGCAGGTGGTGGGATTAGATAACCTTATGAAAGTTATGCACCTCCAAAGTTATGACTGTTTGAAAACTTAAACAATATGATTTAAGGAGGAGCATTTCTTTTGTTACAAAGATGCTGAATTGAGAATATTTCTGAAGAATGTCTTCAGAATAAGAATGAACACCTACAAATAGATACGTTGAGCCTTAAATATCTCCTTAACGACGCTGATGTTGTAACGTAAAGTCTTGTTTAAACCACTCCGTCAAATTGGTCAGGATTATTGTAAGGAAAGGGTAAAAGCAGCAAAAGTAGAAAATTGAATTGGAGAAACAGTATCTATACGTCCAGCCTGGAAAATCAAAGTTGTTTCCTAAAGGGGCTCTGCAAATTTCAATTTAAGTTTCATGTTAAGTTTTGGTTGGCATGAATACTAACTACAAGGTTTTTTTCCTCTGCTTTTTTTGTAGTATGTATGACCAATTGTCCTACGCTAATTGTTATGGTTGGCCTCCCGGCAAGAGGGAAAACTTACATCTCGAAAAAATTGACACGCTACTTGAATTGGATTGGAGTGCCTACAAAAGGTGACTGATATTTCTTATGGTAAACATATGGAAGAAGGGTACAGGCGTCGATTTTGTTCCCATGTAACAGTATAATCAAGGATAACTATGTAAAATATGGTTAGAAGAACTATATCTCTGTTTCATTTTTACTGCTGTGTTCTTCCAGAAAGGTGACATGTAGGTATTTTTCCCTTACAAAAACATGTGAGATGAGTTGTGGCTGAGAGGGATAGTTACTGGCTCAAAATCATCCAGCGAGCTTTATTAGTGAGCAGGGATTTGAACCAGTGTCTCCTCGTCTTGGTCCAGCACTTTAAGCAATACATTATATCGGCTCACCACAGATTTTTGCCCGTTTTAAAACTAGTTTCTTTCCCTCCTGTATCTGACATTAGTTTGTGTGTGAGCACATCCTCTTATACTTAGCAGGATACAGCCAGGTGAAATCCCAAGAGTTCAGGATAAGGATAAGTTTTGCCACTGTGTCAGGAATGGCTCTGGAAAGGAGGGGTCTAGCCTTGTTGCAATAAGTGTTTGGTGCAGCTTTCAATAGTAGCATGGTTCATATTGTAATAATGGAAAGAAGGTGAAATAACTATTGTTTTTCACACAGTTATATATACATATGAATACATATGTATAACAGGTTTTGAAAAAGCTAATACATTTTTGTGTTTGTGCACAAACATATACATTCATGTAAAGAAGCAGCCTATAACACGCAAAACTAGCCAAGCACAAACAGAAGAAAACTTCTTTTAACTGCTTCATGCTGATTTCAGTAGTTGGTGCTGATTTCAGTAATTGGTGCAGTTGTTATGGCAGCCTTCCATAAAGTTGCTGATATTAAATCTTCTCACTGCTATTGGAGCTGTTCCATCCAGATATTGTTCCAGCATTACTGGAATGGCTTCAAGCAGTTTTGAACCTCATGGAATGCTTTAGGATGGATTTGAGTCCTTCTGGTGTGTGTGGGTGTGTATACATGGAGAATTTGAACCACTTTGTATTTTTGAATAGTTCCGTATTGTGTAATTTGTGTTATATTATAATAATAAAAGTTAAAGCAATTGTGTAATGTGGCTTTATGTATTGTATGTATGTGGCTTTATGTATTGTATGGCTCATGTATTCCAGACCAAAATAGAGGCTGGTGCATTTAAACACTTTGATTTAAGAACTTTCACAGAGATTTTAATTGAACCACTATGAGAATCATGTCTAGGTTTCAGAATCTGCATGTGTGACGTTTCCATAAGGAGCAGATATTGGAGGTTGGGAATTGGACAGCCTGAGTACCCTAAACTATGAAAATGGGACTATGCCACACTTCTGGCATTGTCTACAGATGACAAACTTAGGAGTATGGATGATCACAGCTAAAAGGGACACAATGGGCCAAATAAAAAGTGGACTCTACCTGATTTTCTTTGTCAATTTCCTAAACAGAGTTTAATGTTGGCCAGTATCGCCGAGACCTGGTAAAAACGTACAAGTCCTTTGAGTTTTTCCTGCCAGACAATGAAGAAGGCCTGAAAATCCGAAAGTGAGTTTGTTTTTCCCTTTCCCTTGGCAATGTTTGAACCTAAGAACATTCTGATTTTTTTTTCCATTAGGAGCAGCTGTTAGTTCTTGTTCCGTGTTTTTAGCTAGTTCTTGTTTTCAGTGGATTAGAAAATAAGGCAACTTCCTCAGAGCAATAATTCATCACTTTTGAAAACTGCATTCTTTCCTAATATAAGATCCTTCACAAGAAAGAATACAGTGATCAAAATCTTGATTTTGTCATTCCAGCTATATATTATGAAACACTCTTAAGCTATTTCTGCATTTGTGGAGTCGGATTCTTAGATATCTTTGTAAGATATCTGGATTCCTGAAGGCTATGTTGTGCTTTTAAGCATGTTAGGAACAAAATAACTATCTATATTTAACATCATATTGTATTAAAGAATATAACTGCTGCACTTTCTCTTTAAGAACGTGTGCCTTAGCAGCACTGAATGATGTTCATCGATATCTCAGTGAAGAAAAAGGACATGTGGCAGTAAGTTCCTTCCCCCTCCCCCTTGCTTTGCTGAAAAAAGTAAATTTTAAACCACTCACTGAGTACATAGCAGCCTGGAGGGCAAGTACACTGTAAAATCTTGGCTCTAAATCCTGATTCGATAGCTGAAGCTGTTCATTACATTCAGTGGTGTTATTACAAAATAATGTTGCAACACTGGCCATTAAGTGGGAGTATCTTCAGCTGAGACTAGTCTGCAACTTCCAGATCCTGTCTGTTATTTCTTAAGTTTGCAAGAAATGCTCCTTTTAGTCCTTAGAGGTCTTACATGGAGTTATGGGGCAATAATATTCAAACAAATGACTCTTTTGCCACTGTTAAGTAACAGCGGATGTGTGTTGTACTCTCAAGCTTCATTTATGCATGCAGGAGAATAAAGTGACCGAGCCTGGAGATTAAGTTAGAATGGACTGCGTTAGTTCAGACCATAGGTAGTGGATTGCAGCTTTGAATGTTCATTTGCTTCAATAGAGATCTAGCGCCACAGGGAGAAAGGCTGTAACCTCTATTTGCTTGTTCTGTTTCTGTTTTCAAGGAGTTTTAAGCATAGGGGAGCTTTCCATGTGGTGATTAACTAACTACCTGCAGACCATTCTACCACTTCAGATCTGTCACCATATTCCCCTGTATGTGTCAATCCAGATCTTATAGTTTGACGACATGCTTAAGAATTCTGTCTGAGAGTAAGGGGAAAGAGCTGTTGGGGAAGCCGTGTCTCACCCTCCCCCCCCTTTTTTGTAAATTCTGTTTTGGAACTAAGATCTGTTTTGAAACACTATATTCAACAGCCAGTGCTATAAACTTTTTTTGTTCTTAAGCTCCTTGCTTTCCAGTGAGGCATGCCTGCAGCTTTCTGTGATTATTTTTTTAGGAATAGAAAACAGTGATAACTAAGAAATTAATAGTTTTACTCTTATGTTGATGGCTACTCTGTGCTGCTGGTTCATGTATTTTAACTTTTGCAGTTGTCTCTGTTTTCTAGCTTGTAAACTTTTGCTTTTGTTGAGAAAGCTTTCAGAAAAGTGCTCTGTTACTTCTCCTTTTCTGTATTTTCAAACAAGGGCAAGAGTGGTTACATTTACTAAA